CTGTGATGCCTCCCTCATATTAAGGATATTAGCACCATTACTAGATAACTGCTGTGGACCTTTATAGCTTATTTCCATCCAGATCCCCCCCCCCAATTCATAGTGCTAATCAATTAGTAGCACTCATTCTAAACTTTGAAGTTTAAAGAGGAAAGAGAAAGTATTGGCCCTGGCTGGGGTGGCTCAGTGGATTGAGCACCAGCCTGCAAACGAAAAGGTCACTGATTTGATTCCCAGTCAGGGCATATGCCCGGGTTGTGGGCCAGGTCCCCATTTGAGTGTGTACGAGAGGCAACCAATCTGTGTTTCTCTCACACATCAATGTTTCTCTCCCCCTCCTTCTCTCTTCCTTCCCATCTCTCTAAAAATAAAATAAATAAAATTAAAAATGGGGGGAAAAGTATTGCCTCTGGGAAGAATGTAAAATGAGATGTCAAAAGACAACACTGGTCTATTAGTCCAGGTTTTCCAAAGAAACAGAACCAACATGCTACGTATATTTTACATAGAGAGATTTCTCTTAAGAAATTGGCTCACTTGATTGTGGAGACTTAAGTCCAAATTTTGCAGGGTAGACCAGCAGGCTGGAAACATGGGAAAAGTTGCAATTCAAGTCCAAAGGTGGTCTGATATTTGAATTCTTACTACCTGTAAGAGGTCAATCTTTGTTCTGTTAAGGTCTTGAACTAATTAGATGAAACACACCCATATCATAGATGGTAACCTGCTTTACTCAAATTCCACTGATCTAAATGTTAATCTCAATCTTAAAAACACAAAAACTACTGGGGTACTACGACTCAGCCAAGTTGACATATAAAATTAATCATCACAATTACCTTGGCAATTCTAAGTACTTTTGTCCATTACTTAGGTTTTCAGAAATGGAGACACCGCCTATTCATTGTTCCAGAGTAGATTAGACCCAAAATATCTTATTTCAGTTCATGGATAACAAACCCTAATTTTCAGTCATGGAATCCAAACCCTAATTTAGGGATTTTTAATGAGAGGTATCTCTTCTCATTGGCTGCTATGGCTTCACTCTCTGTAAAGAGCATTCCCTTCTCCAGTATCCAACTTCCTGATCAGTAAAGTTGTCAAGACAATTTTGCTTACTGTCCAAAGGCCAAGTAAATTAAGCTAGTTGTGAGGCAGAGAGGTCAAAGCCTTCCTCATTCCACGGAACTTAAGCATGGAATGACTTGACATCCTAAAAGTGAAATTCTAAAAGTGTCTCTGTCTATGAAGTAAAATTGAGCCTCCCCTTCTTCATCGTTTAAATTTTTTATTATTTAAAATTGCCACAATTTTGGGGAATTGAATGATGTATATCTTCTTTTTTAAATATATTTTATTATTATGCCATTACAGTTGTCCTATTTCTCCCCCTTCATTCCCCTCCACCCTGCACACCCCCTCCTCCACCATTGCACCCCTTTAGTTTATGACCACGTTTCTCAAGTTCTTTAGATTCTATATTTTCCATACTATTCTTGCCCTCCCCCCTATTTTCTACCTACTGTTTATGCTACTTATTCTCTGTTCCTTCTCCCCCCTTCTCCTCCTCCCACTCCCCTGTTGCTAACCCTCCATGTGATCTTAAGTTCTATGGTTCCACTCCTGATCTAGCTGTCCTCTTAGTTTGCTTTTGTTTTAGGTGTGGTTGTTAGTAATTGTGCATTTGCTGCCCTTTCACTATTCATATTTTTTATCTCCTTTTTCTTAGATAAGTCCCTTTAATATTTCATATAAGGACCTTGCAATGGTGAACTCCTTAAATTTGGTCTTATCTGAGAAGTATTTTACTGCCCTTCCATTCTAAATGAAAGCTTTGCTGGATAGAGCAATCTTGGATGTAGGTCCTTGCCTTTCATGACTTGGAATACTTCTTCCCAGCTCCCTCTTGCCTGTAAGGTCTCTTTTGAGAAATCAGCTGACAGTCTGATGGGAACTCCTTTGTAGGTGACTGTCCCCTTATCTCTTGCTGCTTCTAGGATTCTCTCCTTCATTTTAATCTTGGCTAATGTAATTATGATGTGCCTTGGCGTGTTCCTTCTTGGGTCCACCTTCTTTGGGACTCTCTGAGCTTCCTGGATTTCCTGGAAGTCTGTTTCCTTTGCCAGATTGGGGAAGTTCTCCTTTATTATTTGTTCAAATAAGTTTTCCACTTGTCCCTCTTCCTCTTCCCCTTCTGGTACCCCTATAATTTGAATGTTGGAACATTTAAAGATGTCTTGAACGTTCCTAAGCCTCTCCTTTTTTTTTTTTTTTGGATTCTTGTTTCTTCATCCTTTTCAGTTTGGTCATTTTTTTTTCTTCCTTCTGGTCCACTCCCTTGATTTGAGTCCGTTTCCTTCCCATCACTATTGGTTTCCTGTGCATTTCCCTTCATTTCAATTAGTTTAGCCTTCACATATTCCTCTAATTTGTGACCAAAATCAACCAGTTCTGTGAGCATCCTGATCACCAGTGTTTTGAACTGTATATCTGATAGGTTGGCTATTTCTTGGTCACTTAAGAGTTACCGGCTCTGGGACTTTGAGTTATTCTTGAGCCATAATGTTTTGATCTGTTCGCACCTGTTATGTATGAGGGGCAGAGCCCTAGGTGTTCACCAGGGCAGGGCAACTCAGTCACTGGGTTGAGATGCTGTATGTGGGGGCGGGGTCAAAGAGGGGCAACAGCAGTCCCCTCTGCTGCTTCCTGCCACTGGGGCCTGCAAGGCCCGTCTCACTCCTCACTCCTTCACCTGGTTTATCTGCGTGTGAATGTGTGACCGCGGTCAGCCTGCCACCTTGCTCCCTCACTGGGTCTGCCCGTCTCAACCTCACGCCTGGGGTCAGTCTGGTCAAGTTCTCCTGCGCAGCCCTGCTCCGCCAGTCACTGGATCCACCCCTCTTACCGATCTGGCTGAATGGTTCATTCTTGTCAGACTTCTGTATAATTCAATTTTCTGTTTTGGTTGCATTTTTTTTTTTACTAAAACTTTGTTGTCTTTAAACTTGGTTGTGCAAGGAGGCACAGTGTTTCCACCTATGCCTTCATCTTGGCCAGAAGTGACTGATGTATATCTTTTATAAAAGGAAGATAATAGATTCATAGGAAGTTCATGTCATAGAAATACCTAATCCCTATTGCATCTTGTCTCTAGTCCTATGGAATATTCCTGCTCACTCTGTGACAAAGACAGTATAGACTCCAAGGAATCAAAAATCAATGAGATTATGTTATTTCCCATCATACACTCAGTACTACTTGTATGAGGACAAAATAGAATGTCCTGTGAGAGATCCAAGGACACCCATACCTTCAAATCACAGGATATTTTAATGAAAGTGTGAAAAGCTAGCCTGTTAATATTAATAATAATATCTGAAATTTATTTTTTCCTCTCTACACATTCATTACATATCACACATGTTCATGTTGTTTCCACAATATTGTTTAATACTGCAACAGTGCAGTTGTGACAACAAGGGATCAACTCAGATGAAAATGTTGAGGGTCAGAGATACCAAGAACTTGCCCCATATCACACATATATAGCAGACAAAATTAAACTAAATTATCAGTTTCTGATGCCCATATGATAAACTTCTTCATTCTGTTTTTCTACACTTCAGAAAGTTTAGCACAGAAAGTCAGAGGTCTTTACCAAAAAGTACAGCTGATACATCTTTTAACTGAATTTAGTTTCCTAAGAATGGAACCCAACACCCTTAATTTAATGTCTCTCTTAGAGACTGAAAAGGGCTAACTACAATATGTCATATGAATACAGTAGTCATAACTACTGTATGCAGAGGTCATAATTAGCCAAATTGATCTATGAACTTTATTCCCTGAAGACTTCACAATCTTGGAGAACCATAGGAGGAAAAATACAGTGTCCTAGGTCCAGCGCAATTACATCTGAGCCCTACCCTTCCCTGGAGCAGGTTCACTTGGCCACCTGTAGTCACATATCCAAAAGGAAGGCTCTCCTTATAAATATTAGATTTATCATTTCCACTTAAAAATTCACATGTGATTTTGATTTTCTGCAATGGCATGGATGATGAAATAATATCAGGAATATCAGCATATTTACTGCTAACATTTCCCACGGTAGAACATGAAAATATTTCCATATTTAATCATGTTTATGTCTGAGAGAGCTTCATGCTTTTCTTCATGAGTTATTCTCATTTCTTATGGAGTTAATTCCTTGGTAATATTTTTGTTGCTAATTTCAGTTACAGCACTGGTTTCATTTATTGCTAATTAATGGCATATTAGAAAACAATTGTAGATTTTCATTATCTAACACTTTATTCTAGCAGTGTTTCTAGTTGTTTTTCTTGAGAATTAAATTATCTGAAATTATTCAATATTGTGGTCTTTTTCCCTTTTTGTGTTTCTGTCCTAAAGCATAGGCTACCTCTTCTAGAAACATAACAGTGGTAGAACGAACTTGTATCTCTATGATTTAAAAAAATGATTCCAAGTTTCTAGCACTAAATTTAATACTAGTTCTTAGTCAGTGTACATATTTTCTTCTTTACTTTCCTGTTCTGTTAAGATTTCTAATCTGGAATGGGTTATAATTTACCAAATGCCATCTTAACATCTCTAGAAAGTTGGTATATTTTATTTTCCTTTAGCCTCTTAATATAATACCAACTTCTACATATTGATGCTTTACTATGTGCCAAACACTATCCTAAGCACTTTACCCTTTTTCATTTTCTCCTCACAGTAACACCATAAACAATTATCTCAATAACATCGAGAGTAAGCAAATTTTCCTGTAAAGAGCCAGAAGTAAATATTGAACTCAACTCTGTCATCATAGCACAAAAGTAGCCATTGACAAAATACATACACAAATGAACAAGGCTGTGTTCCAATAAAGTTTTATTTATGAAAACATATGGCAGTTGTATGAAAGGAGAGAAGGTTAGCACTCCCCTTGACAAGGATGGAAAACATATGGCAGCCTAGATTGGGCCCCCAGATCACAGTTTGCAATAAACTTAGAAGTTAGATGAGGTGCTCAAAATCACAGCTTGAACTTGTCCAGGATCATAAAGATAGCAGTATCAAATTAATTTTGAATTCCTGGGATTCTTATTTGAAATGGAAATATATAGAAGTTATAAAAATGGATACCATGTTTGATGTAAACTTGCCATTTGACTGATAGATTTTATCACATTATGTCTAATCTTCATATTGATTTTGGAAGTAGAATTGCCAAATAAAATACAGGATGCCCATTTAAAATTAAATTTCAGATAAACAATAAATAATTGTTTGGTATAAGTATGTCCCAAGGCAGTGTTTGTCTGAAATTCCAATTTGGGCATTTTTTTTTTCCTGCTAAATCTGGCAGCCCTATTTGGAAGGTAAATGCAAATAATCCCAATTTGCTGTTAGGAATCTGAGGATTAGAGAAGAGATATCTACATGCCCATGTTTATTGCAGCATTATTCACAACAGCCAAAAGGTAGAAAAAACTAAGCATCCATTCACAGATGAATGGATAAAGAAAGTGTGGTGTATACATGAATGGAATATTATCAAGCCTTAAAATAGGAAATACTTTCATACACTACAACATGGATGAACCTAGACAACATTATGCTAAGTGAAATAACCAATAAAGACTGAAGTTACAAAAAAACCAATAATGCATGACTCCACTTATAGGAGGTCTCTAAAGTAGTCAAACTGATAGAAACAGAAAAGTAGAATGATGGTTACCAGAGGCTGATAGAAAGGGGTGAAGGGGAATGTTGGGTATGGTTTCAATCATGAAGGACAGGGACGAGGGAGTCTGGAGACTTGTTGCACAAAAAATGTATGTGACTGACACTGTACCACACTTGGACTTTGTGGGAAGGGTGAATTTTATGTGGGTTTTCTGATAGAAGTTAAAAAATCAAAACAAGGAAAAACAAGATAGAATAAAATGAGAGGCTTACTGCTGGAAGATGTTCATCTGGAAATCAGTTTATAAAATTAAATTTTGCAATAAATTGTTTAAAGCTTAAATTTTTGTATAAAGAAAAGTATATAACAAAAAGAGGACTCATGAGTATGTGGCACAGGGTAAATGTTTTAAAATGTTAACTATTATAGTTACTATTCACGAAGTGATACTTTGAGTTAGATATTGAAACTAAAGAATGTCAGGATTTGCTGTTACGCAACAGGCATTATTTCCCAAAATTACTCTTTTGAATAATAATATGCAGTCATCAAAAGTGTGAATTCTGAAGCCAGGCAGATTTAACTACTTACAAGCTGTGTGACTTTCGGCAAGCTGTTTCTCTGCCTCTTTATCCTCATTTGTAAAATGTGGGTAATGAAAGCATCTATCTCAAAGATTTTTTTGAAGAATAAATGGATTATAGCTATAAAGTGCTTCAAATAGTGCCTGACACAGAGTAATCACTCAATACACCTTAGCTATTTTTGTCAAATCAAACTATCAATACTTATATAATAATACCCTTTACAACAGCATGGATGGAACTGGAGAGCATTATGCCGAGTGAAATAAGCCAGGTGCTGAAAGACAAATACCATGATCTCACCTTTAACAGGAAGCTAAACAACAAAACAAACAACCAAGCAAAATATAGCCAAAGACACTGAAATAGAGAACAGGGGAACAGCGACCAGAGGGGAGAGGGGAGGGAATTTAAGAGGAAAAAAGGGGAGGGATTTAGAGGAGCAAGTATAAAGGACACAGGAACAACAACTAAGGGAGGTGGAAATGGGAGGGAGGTGGGGAGCATGGGGAGGGGTGGGCTAGAATGGGAGAAATAGAAAACTGCACTTGAAAAATAATTAAATAAAATAATAAAAAATAAAATTAAAAAAAAGAAAAACTATCTTTTTAAATATGCAAAAAAAAAACCCACCAATGAGCCATGTTTTCACTCAAAGATACAGCAATCTTGGTCTCTTGTACTGTATTGACTGGATTTTCTCCTTCCTTTTAACACTCCTTCCACAACATAGGGACCCCATATGATGTGGTTGGTTGAAAAGATATCTAGTGTTTGCCTAAAAGATGCCACTAGAACTATTAAAAAAAAAACCTTACAGCTATTATTATACTTAATGGTGAATTATGAAACTTCCCCTAAGAGCAGAAACAAGTCTAAGATGCTCATTTTCATTTCTATTCATCACTGTAAAGCAATGAGGCAAGAAAAAGAAAGGATAAAATTTAGAATTTCTTTTATTGGTATTGACAGGACTATATACATAGAAACCCAAAATAAGCCATAAATATTTGAATAAATAAATGAATGTATAAGTACCACTGGATAAAACAGCAATGTACAAAAAGAAATTGCAATTCTACGTGCTAGTCTAAAAAATTCAAAAATAAATAAAAATATTTACAAAGCAAAACATACTACATACCTAGAAATAAATTAAAGTATTCAATACCTCTACAATTAAAACTATAAAACACTGTTAAAAGAAATTAAAGACAAAGAACTTCCAGTCAAAATGGAGGCATAGGTAAATACGCTTTGCTTCCTCAACCAAGAGAAGGGCAACAAAAAATTTTAAAAACAACCAGAACTGCCAGAAAATCAAACTGTATGAAAGTCTGACAACCAAGGAGTTAAAGAAGACACATTCATCCACTGTTAGGAGTGGCGGAGACAGGCAACCAGGGTGGAGAGGACTCGTAGCAAGGATAGGCTAGACAGTGGCTGGTGGACAGGAAGGTCCCACATTCATATGCAGGTAAGCTGGGAGGAGCAACTGGGGAGCAAGACAGACAACACAACCCAGGTTACCAGCACAGGGAAAAGAAAGCCTCAAAACCTCTGGCTGTAAAAACCAGTGGGGGTTGCAACAGCATGAGAAACTCCCAGCCTCACAAGAGAGTTTGTTGGAGAGACCCACTGGATCCTAGAACATGCACAAGAAGCTACCCAGAAGTCAACAGCGGAAGGGCCCAATTTCCTTTTGGATAGCAGGGAAAGTGACTGAAAGCAGGGCAAGAGCCAAGCAAGAAGCATTGTCCCCTTTCGGATCCCTCCGCAACATACAGTAACCCTCAAAGCAGCAAGGTGGGCTGTCCTGCCCTGGTGAACATATAAGGCTCTGCCCCTTACAACATAGCAGGTGCCCAGACTAAGAAATATGACCCAAATGAAGGAATAGATCAAAACTCCAAAAACAAAACTAAGCACGACAAGAGAGTCAACCTATCAGATGCAGAGTGCAGAACACTGGTCATCGGGATACTCACAGAAATGGTTGAGTATGGTTGCAAAATGGAGGAAAAAGTGAAGGCTATGCAAAATAAGATAAAGAAAAACTACAGGGAACCAACAGTGACAGGAAGGAAACTGGGATTCAAATCAGCAATTTGGAGCAGAAGGAAGAAATAAACATTCAACCAGAACAGACTGAAGAAATAAGAATTCAAAAAATAAGAAGAGGCTATGGAACCTCAGGAAAACTTTAATCATTCCAACATCCAAATCATAGGGGTGCTTAAGGAGAAGAGGAAGAGCAAGAAATTGAAAACTTATTTGTAAAAATAATGAAGGAGCCCTGGCTGGTGTGGCTCAGTGGATTGAGTGCCACCTTATGAACCAAAGGGTTGCCAGTTCAATTCCCAGTCAGGGCATATGCCTGGGTTGCAGGATAGTTCCCCAGTAGGGGCCATGTAAAAAACAACCACACATTGATATTCTCTCCCTATTTTTTTTCTTCCCTTACCCTATCTCTAAAAATAAATAAATAAATAAATTATTTTTTAAAAAATAATGAAGAACTTCCCTAATGCAGCAAAGGAAAGAGACTCCCAGGAAGTCCAGGAAGCTCAGAGAGTCCCAAGAAATTGGACCCAAGGAAGCACACACCAAGGCACATCATAATTAAATTACCAAGATTAAAGATAAGGACAGAGTCTTAAAACAGCAAGAGAAAAGGAGACAAGTTACCTACAAAGGAGTGCCCATAAGACTATCAGCTAATTTTTCAAAAGAAACCCTACAGGCAAGAAAGGGCTAGAAAGAAATATTCAAAGTCATGAAAGACAAGGACCTAATTCCAAGATTACCCTATCCAGCAAAGCTATCATTTAGAAAGGAAGGGCAGATAAAGTGCTTCCCAGTTAAGGTCAAGTTAAAGGAGCTCATTATTACCAAGCCCTTATTATATGAAATGTTAAAGGGTCTTATCTAAGAAAAAGATTAAAAATATGAACAGTAAAATGACAACAAACTCACAACTATCAACAACTGACCCTAAAAATCAAAAACCAATACCAACTAAGCAAACAACTAGAACAGGAACACAATGACAAAAATGGAGATCACATGAAAGGTTACCAGTGGGAAGGGGAGCAGGGAGAATGGGGGAAAAGGTACAGGGAATAAGAGGCATGATTTGTAGGTACAAAATAGGCAGAGGGAGTTAAGAATGGTATAGGAAATGGAGAAGCCAAAGAACTTATATTTATACTCATGGACATGAACTAAGGGGGTGAGGGCAGGAGGAATGCTGGTGGGGCCTGCAGAGCAGAGGAGGATAAAGGAGAGGAAAAAAATGGGACAACTGTAACAGCATAACCAATAAAATAGTCTTTTAAAAAAACTTAAAAAAAGAAATTAGAGACATCGTAGGTATATGTACAATTATATTACATTCATCAGTTGGAAGACTCAATAGTGTAAAGATGTCAGTTTTATTCAGGTTATTCTATAAAATCAGTGCAATTCCAAGCACAGTCCCAGATTTATTTGTTAAATTGACAACAGAGATTCTAAAATTAATATACAAACAAATGGTGAATAGGGAAGGTAAGTGTAGACTCTACTCTGGTTTCTGGATGAGAGTGAAAGCTAGTCATAAAGAAATGAGAATATTACATTCCTGGGGAAAACAGTGGGCAAGCAAGCCAATCAGATTCAATTGCCATAATCATAATGGAATTGTTCCAAAAGACAATCACTCTCTTTTCCCTGAAAATTCAACCAGGAAAATAAAGCAACCTGAACCTTCTAGGGCCCACTGCAAAGAGAGAAAGACTGCCAAGGAGAGTAGCTAGTACAGGAAGATGCATAGCCAACACATTGAAACAGGATTCATCCAGATATGTTTTTAGCCCCAGGATCCAGCCATGCCTGAAGCCAAGTATACCCAAGGACTTTCCAGTAATCAAAACAATAAATTCCCTTTATAGCTAACAAAATGAAAAGAATGAAAACACAAGCCTGAGACTGGGAAAAGTTTTTTGCAATATACGTATATATAATATACATATTATAATATATATAACATATATAACACATGATACATATGTATGTATGTAACCATACAGATATACACATATATACCATAAATTTAGGACAAGTAGTAACCAGAAGGAAATCCTTCAAATTAAAAAAAAAATGATGAAATGCTTTAATAGATGCACTCATAAAAGATATCCAAATAGTCAACAAGCACATAAAAAAGTACTCAACATCATTACATGTCAGGTAAATGCAAATTAGAACCCAAAACAAGATACTACCACATCTTCTGCCGAATGGCTAAAATTAGAAAGTGCTGGCCAGATAAGTGGAATAACTGCAATTTTCATGTACTGCTTTTAGGATTATAGGTGGGGATCAACCTTTTTGAAAAAGCTGAATACCTACCAAAACTAAGCATGAAATCTACCCTTGTATTCACTAATTTTATCCCCACATATAAAGCATATACCAAGAGAAATGTATTAATCTGCCAAAGAGCAATTGAAAGGCAAACAGACATTATGGTGAGAAAAGAATCCAAACACATAACTGTACATACTGTATTTTAACATTTATATAATGATCAAGAACAAGCAACCCTAATAAACTGTAACAGAAGTCAAAATTGGGCTTGTCTCAGGGAGCACTTATTGAGAAGGAAGATGAATGAATTTTCAGGAGTCCTGGCAATGTCCTGTTTATCAGGATGTAAACATTATGTGAAATTTCATCAAGCTGTACACTTAAGATTAGCACACTTCATGCACATTAGTACATATATATATGCCTCAATAAAACAATAAAAAAGTGATTAATGGAAAGTACTACTGGTATACAGTACTGCACAACTCAACAATTGGGCCACGTTCTGAGAAATGCATCATCTGACAATTTCATCACTGTGCAAATATCACAGAATGTACAGGCAACAGAAATTTTTCTGCTCCATTATAATCTTATGGGAGCACCATCAGACATGCCACCTGTTGTTGACTGAAATGTCATATGTGGCACAGGACTGCACTCTTAGAGATAAGGGGAAAATATAATGGAAGGAAAAAGGTTGATAAAGCACTTGAAACATAAACCAGATAACTTTCATCTAAAAGTTAAAGATTAAAAAAAGTGATAAAATCGTCCTTGTTTGAAAGTGTCAAATATAAATCTTTCTTCACTAAAATGGGCTGGTACCCTATCTAATGCTTATTTCAATTACACCTAATTTTCCTCACTGTCCAAATCTGTGCTTCTTTGAGGACCACAGTGAACTTACATAGATGTACTTCCTCCTTAAGTAGAATGACATAATGGAACTGGACTGTGGACATGACAACAGTCCTGCTCCAAACTTGGACCAACTCTGTAATCAGCTGATGTGCCAGAGGGACTGTAATATCAGCAATGCGAACAGTTGCCAAAAATCTAACAGGCTGTGAATGGCCATGATGGTGAAACTTACAGAGATGTTATGGAACTGCTGCTTCTAAGATAACTTAAGTCAAGCATTGTATGTTCCACTTGAGCCAGTATTAATTGCTGGGGCCAACAAGCAGGAAAGTGAGCTGGAAATTAGAGCCCACCAGTCACTATGCATCTGCTTCCCTGTCTCATGGCCTCACTAAACTAAAAATAAGAGATTCTATCCTCTGCCTTCCAATTCACACACAAACTGTTTATTTTTAGACAACTCTAACCTGGAACTGAGTAAGGAAGTGATTCTGGGAAGTGGGGTCCAGCCATGCCCAAATTAACACACGGAAGCCAGCCCACCCAACTTTACTTCTTGCTTTCTTGTTACAAGGTCTCTTTTTACTCTCAAAACATTGGATCCAATTCCCAGCCATGAGTAAGAACAAAGAATGAAATACAAAAACAATGTATCAGGTAAGACACTTCTTTTAAGACCTGTGCACATTAATTTCTGCTGAAATTACTTATTAGACAACAAAAGCATTGAATAGTAAAAAATTATTAATTTCAAAAACAACAGTTTCACTTAGTAAAGGGGGGGGGGAATATTGAATAGGTAATTTCCAGTATGTGCCATACTAGATCAAAATGCAATTACCAACTACAAAAGAAAATTATAAAAGAAGACCCTGGCCAGGTAGCTCAGTTGGTAAGAGCATCATCCTGATATGCCAGGGTTCAATCCCAGGGTTCAGTGTGGGTTCAATCCCTGGTCGGGGCACATACAAGAATCAACCAATGAATGCATAAATAAGTGTATCAACAAATCACTGTTTCTCTCTCTCATGTCCTCTCTTTAAAATCAATTAAAAATTATAAAAGAAATTATAAATACCAAAGTGTCCATACCATAATCACTGCACACTGATATTCATATCAGAAAATAAAAACCAGAAATCAATGTCAACATTCCACTGTAAGGGTGAGGCACTGATCTTTGCTTCCAGTATGAATTTTCTTGTACACTTATTTCTTATGCTTTTCACTTACAAGTGATATCAGGAAGATATCACTACATGGTTTACATACAAAGGGTTTCTCCAAGTTGTGAGTTCTCAAATGTCTTCAAACACATTCTCACAGTCACAGAATGTCTCCAGTGTGAGATCTCACATGCTGCCTGGGATTGGAAAGCCTTGCATACATTCCCCTATTCCTTACCTTTACATGCTTTCTCTAGTGTGAGTTTTCACATGTCTTCGAAAGTAGGCGGGACAAACAAAGGCTTTCCCACACTCCTCACATTCATAGGGTTTCTCTCCAGTGTGGCTTCTTACATGTCTCCGAAAAGATGAGGGACAACTGAAGGCTTTCCCACATTCCAGACACTCAAACGGCTTCTCTCCAGTGTGCATTCGGGCATGTACAGTAAGGTATGAAGAATGGCGAAAGGCCTTCCCACAGTCCTTACATTCATAGGGTTTCTCCCCAGTGTGCGTTCTCATGTGAATCCTAAGAGCTGAAGGATAAATAAAGGCTTTTCCACATTTCTTACATTCATAAGGCTTCTCTCCAGTGTGAGTTCTGACATGTACTGTAAGGTGGGAGGAACTAATAAAGGCTTTCCCACACTCCTTGCATTCATACGGCTTCTCTCCACTGTGAGTTCTCAGGTGTTCTGTGAGAGATGAGGAGCGGCTAAACGCCTTCCCACATTCCTTGCACTCATATTGTATCTTCCCAGTGTGATCTCTCACGTGCACTCTAAAGGATGAGGGACAGCTAAAGGCTTTTCCACATTCCTTACATTCATAGGGTTTCTCTCTACTTTGATTTTTCACGTGTGTATTAAGGGAAGTGAGAAGATAGAAGGCTTTTCCACATTCCAGACACTCATAGGGTTTCTCTCCAGTGTGTTTTCTCATGTGGATACTTAAGGAGGAGGGACAATTGAAGGCCTTCCCACATTCCTTACACTTATAGGGTTTCTCTCCTGTGTGTGTTCTGACATGTACAGTGAGTTTCGAGGACTCACTGAAGGCCTTTCCACACTCTTTACATTCATAAGGCTTCTCACCAGTATGAATTCTTATATGTATTATAAGGTGAGAGGAAGAACTAAAGGCCTTCCCACATTCTTTACATTTGTATGGCTTATCTCCACTATGAATTCTTTTGTGTTTGGAGAGTGAGGAGGAGCAACTAAAGGCCTTCCCACATTCCTTACATTCGTATGGCTTATCTCCACTATGAATTCTTTTGTGTTCTGTGAGGGATGAAGAACAACTGAAGGTTTTTCCACATTCCTTACATTCATAGTTTGTCTTTCCAGTGTGAATCTTCATATGTGCCCTAAAGAATGAAGAACAACCAAAAGCTTTGGTACAGTCCTTACATTCATAGGGTTTCTCTTCAGTGGGAGTTTGCATATGCTTCTTGAAACAAGCAAGAAAATGAAAAGCTTTTCCGCATTCCTTGCACCGATAGCGCTTGCTTCCAGTGTGAGAGCTGACATGATTCCTAAGAGACAAAGGATCCGTGAAGACTTTTTTACATTCACAACATTCATATGATTTTACCTCAGTAGTTCTCTTGAGTATATTAAGATTTGAAATTTGGCTGAAGGTTTGTCCACACTGATTTTCTTCATTATAGCCATAGATGTTCTCCACCACATGACTTCTTTTAAAAATAAAAAGCACATCATTAGTAATAAATACACTTTTATCATTTTCTGTAACTATATCTGTCTTTTGCCCTGTCAGGTTATAAGCTGAAAGCTCCTGCAGAGAGCTCTATAACAGCCAATATTTATCACTGAGTTTTTGACTTAAGGCATTTTTCTCATAATTGCTTATATCTGAATTATGTAAAACACTGAAAATCTCAATCTCATTTGTGAGAAAAAAATCTTGTGAAAATTCTTTATGAAATCACAATTTTTGACCAAGATTTATAAACATGTTTTTTAAATTTCGTGACATTTTAAGATTCTCTTCTGAGGCACTACCTTCTTTTATATGAATGGCACTCACCCCAGATGTCTCTTGTGGTTTTTGTTCTTATCATCAACAGCATGGTATTCCCAATTTTTGTATAAAACAGACAACCAGGAATCATTCCTTTTGAATCTTACTATTTTCTGTTCATCAGATATTTTTTCTCCATAAATATCTTGTGAAATAACTGATTCATTACCTTTACACTGAATCTCAAAACCTGAAATAAAAGGTAAAGGCAACTATGAGCAAAGGGCTTGTGCAGAGCGACTATGTCAAAACTCTAGAGATAACTGCAAGGGTCAAAATAGTAAGCAAGTGACTAAGAAAAAATTCCAGAAGATTGAGACCACTGGTAACATGAACAGGGTATTATCAGGAGAACAAAGCAAAAAGGAACTGAATAAAATGTATATGACCAAATACTAATTTACAAAGAGGAAACACGGAAAGTCTTTCCCAAAAACAAGTGTGAGAGAACTAATAAAAAGTTAAAACAGTAATCAGTGGTATCTATGGAAAATCTGCCTCTCAAACAAAACAGTTTCACCTCGCTTTTATTTGATTTTTTCTGAATGTGATATCCCCCAACCAGGACACTTTCTCCCCAGAATTCTTGCCTTCCTGGTACTGCCCCCAGAGAAGCCCTCCCATTGTTTTCTCCAGGTGCTCCTCTTGTTCCCACTGGAAGATGAGACAGGGTGTGTGCAGGGGATACCCTGTCAATGCAGAAAGGTGTATTACATGAAGGAAAGCAATGGGGAACCATAAATATTTCCATGAGACAAGGCTAAAACTTTGGTCTTCTGACACTATAAAGACGGGACAAGTGTGAATTTAACTGCAACAAAATGTTTGTCAAAGAAAATTTTAAGGGAGGGGGCAGAGTTGCAACATAGCCTTTGATCTGATGTTCATATCTAATCCTCAATATTATTAGAAGTTGGTCTGATACTTACAGCTGGGACATTCTGTTCTCCTACTGAGCATAATCTCACAGAATACCAATCTTAGACAAGGTTACTCTGAGACCATCATGAAGTGAAATAAGGACACTTCATAACTTAGTCTATAGAGAAAAAGGAAAGTCACTGTGCTACCCACAAAATATCAAATAATAGAATTTCCCCACTTTCCCCCAATCTACCCAACTGGGTTGAACAGTGTTCTTCAAAATTCCATCCAAATAGGTCAATGAAACAGAATAGAGGGTCCAAAAATAGATCCACAAAAACAGTCAACTGATCTTTCACAAAGGAGCAAAGGCAATACAATGGAGAAAAAAAAGTCTTTTCAACAAAGACTAGAACTAGATATTGACATCCAAAAAATGAATCTAGACACAGACCTTATACTTTTCATAAAAAATGATTACAGACCTAAATTTAAAATGCAAAACTATAAAATTCTTAAAAGATAACAGGAGAAAAATCTAGATGACCTAGGGCTTTGGCAATAACTTGCTAGATACAACACCAAAAGCATGATTTACAAAAAAAAAGAATTGAAGGGGGAAGATAGCGACAGAGTAGGAGAGAGCATATTCCACTTCCCCCTACACACAGGAGAAAAACCTGGCCAATCTACAGAGGAACAGAGCAAACAGCCAGCGGTACCCCAGCATATATGAAAATAAGAGACCAGAAAGTGTAATGAACACTGAAAACCAGAAGGTTAGAAGACTACTGCAGAACTATAAGGTCCCAGGGACCAGCACGGAAATCGGCTGTAGCTCAGCCTGGCGCCTGTCGGCCAAGGCTGGTGAGTCTGCCAGGGACTCTTTGGGAGCCCCGGCACCCAGTAAGTATACGGCAGATTTTTTGGGAGCCTCGGGCCTGCCACAGGGTCCTTGGGAGAGAGCTGGGTCATCAGCTCCCTCCCTCCCGGTCTAAGCAAGGTTGGGTGACACCGGGGAGAGACCTTTCTGCTTGAGTTTACAAAGAGGGTGATAAGGACAAAGGGCCGTGTTCGACTGCAAGTCTGTGGTTGCCAGCCTGTGGGAATTGAGAGGCGCAGTGTTGGGCTGTGACTCCAACAGTCACCGGTCTAGCTGGGGAATTAGGCTATGCTGAGAGGCAGGCTTTCTCGAGAAATTTTTTGGAAAGCAAACTGAAGGATTCTCCTGCCTGCTCTCCACCCAGCCTGGCAGTGATCCAGAGGCTGGGTGGAAGGCCTTGTGGTTCCCCCACAGAACAGGAAAGGGTCTGTGCTTGAACCCGTGGGACCCAGGCAGCCTGGCCAGTGTGTGCACACGCCCGCACCCCAGCCCACAGCGAGGGCCCCCAGGGAAAGTGCTCTGAAAAGAACCTAGATCCCTTCGTGGGGTGCTGGGGAGAGGCACCTGGCTAGCTCTTGGGAGAATGCTCACAGAAAGACCACACCAATCAACCCTCAGCCTGCTGCGGCCAGAAAAACCAGTTTGGCCAGTTAGAAACCAACAAGAGATTTTTTTTTTAAAGTAATCTTTTATCTTTTTAATTTTATTATTGTCTTATCTTTCAATATCTTTTTCCTCTTTCTTCCTTATTGTTTTATTCTTTCTTCCTTTCTTTCCAAACTTATTGCTTCTTCCTCCCTTCTCCTGTCTTTTTTTTCTTTTACCCACAAGTGACACAAACAACTTGGAACTGTGAAAAGACCAGAGTTGGGCCCAAGAAGGGGGCATCTCAACAGTAGAGACAGAGAGACAAATTTCACTTTGCTATAGCAGAGAAGCCACAAGTTGCTGCATATTTGTATTATTATTTTTTTCAGTATTCTCACATCTTTTATATTTTAATAGTATCTTTGTATTCCTCCTCTTTCTGTATACGCTTCTTTGCCTTGGCTGGTTATAGTGTATCATTTCACAGGTTTTCCCTGTTCTCTCCTCCACAGTGTATTCCTAATTTTCTATACTTCATGCCACTCATTTTAGTTTAGCACACTACCCAAAGTTCTATACCCCTGTTCATGTTATCCAGATCACATAGAGTCTGTCATATGATTGTTGCTCTAATACTATTGCATATAATAGCTGTTCTATACAACTGTAAGTACTTCACAACACATCTCCCGGATCTTAGCCCACTTTACAGGTTGCTGAATTCTATTACTGTAGTGATTAACTCTATTTGCTCACACCCTACACCTATTTACTATTCTTTACTCTCACTTTACCTCGAAATCTGACCGCCCAAAACCTCACTGCTTTCTAGGTCCAACTCACAAGCCTTCCCTCCCCAACAAGAGACTTATTTTTCGTCCATCCTTTCTTAAAAGTGGTAAGTTGGGTTGAAGATTATGGTTAACACTACAATTATATATAGCCTGAAGATCTTCTATCTCTTCTCTACCAACTGTGACTATAAATATCATAAAATACTCTTCTGCTGTCATAAACCATTTTGCCTCCCCCTCCAACTAAACACACACACAAAAAGGAGTAGGTAGAAGCAGAGAACACCAAGATACCCAAAGGAAACTGCACCACTGAATCTCACAGGTATTCTACCACAGAAGTTCACACCATAAACCCAGGAAGCCAGAACGGATCAATTTAAGAAGCTGAGGCTAACAAGAAGAGTCTCACAAACAATGGGAAGACAAAGAAACATTCCCCAAATGAAAGAAAAGGAGGGAGCCTCAGAAAGAATGTTAGATGAAATAGAGGCAAGTCAACTATCAGATAGTGAATTCAAAGCGCTGGTTATCAGGAAGTTCAAAGAGCTCACAATGAGCTACCAGAAACTACAGGGGAGCTACAATGAACTGACTGCAAACTACATCAACATGAAAAAAAAAACAGAAACTATCAGCAAGGGCCAAGAGAAAATGAAGAATACAATTTCTGAGCTGAAGAACACAGGAGAAGAAATCAAAAGCAGGATCAATGAAGCAGAAGATCTGATCAGTGCGTTGGAGGACAAAGTAGAAAAAAAAACCAGAAAGAGCAAGAAAAGAAACAGAGGCTCAGAAAAAATGAAGAGGGATTAAGAGAAATGCAAGGCAATATGAAATGTAATAATATCTGAATAATAGGGATACCAGAAGGAGAAGAAGAAGAATAGGAATAGAAAACCTATGTGAAAAAGTAATGAGGGAAAACTTCCCTAATTTTATGAGAGAAAAAGTCACACAAACCCAGGAATCACAGAGTCCCAATTAAGAGGAACCCAAAGAGGCCCACTTCAAGACACATTCTCATTAAAATGGCAAAATTCCAAGATAAAGAGAGAATCTTAAAGGCAGCAAGAGAGAAAAAGGAAGTAACATACAAGGGAGCCCCAATAAGGTTAGCTACTGACTTTTCAATGAAACGCTCCAGGCAAAAAGAGAATGGCAAGAAATATTCCAAGTAATGACAACCAGAGGCCTACAACCAAGGCTACTTTACCCAGCAAGGCTCTCAATCAAGGCAAAAGGCCAAATAAACAGCTTCCAAGACAAAAGAAATCTAAAAGAATACACCTCCACCAAACCAGCTCTGCAAGAGATGCTAAAAGGACTGCTTTAAGGAAAGGAAGGAAAAGAGAGAGACAGAGAGGAACACAGTTACAAAAATGGCAATGAATAAGTACCTATCAATAATAACATTAAACATAAATGGATTAAATGCACCAATCAAAAAACATAGACTAGCTGAATGGATAAAAAAGCATGACTCACACATATGCTGCCTACATATTTGCCAATGATACCTCAAAGGTTTAATCTCCAAAATATACAAAGAACTTACATGACTTCACTCAAAGAAGACATCTAACCCAATTAAAAAATGGGAAAAGGACTTGAACAGACACTTCTCCAAGGAGAACGTACAGAGGATCCAGAGACACATGAAAAGATGCTCAATATCGCTAGCTATCAGAGAGATGCAAATTAAAACCACAATCAGATACCACTCTACAACAGTCAGGATGGCTATCATAAAAAAGGCAACAAACAACAAATGTTGGAGAGGTTGTGGAAAAAAGGGGACCTTAGTTCACTGTTGGTGGGATTGCAGACTGGTACAACCATTATGGAAAACAGTATGGAATTTTCTCAGAAAAATAAAAATGAATATGCCTTTTGACTCAGCAATTCCACTGTTAGGAGTATATCCTAAGAACCCTGAAACACCTATCCAAAAGAACCTATGCACACCAATGTTCACAGCAGCACAATTTACAATAGCCAAGAGCTGGAAGCAACCTAGGTGCCCATCAGTAAATGAATGGATCCACAAACTATGGTACATTTATGCAATGGAATTTTATGCAGCAGAAAGAGAGAAGGAGCTCCTACCCTTTGCAACAGCATGGATGAAACTGGAAAGCAGTATGCTAAATGAAATAAGCCAGGTGGTGAAAGACAAATACCATATGATCTCACCTTTAACAGGAAGCTAAACAACAAAACAAACAAGCAAGCAAAATATAACCAAAGACACTGAAATACAGAACAGGCTGACAGGGACCAGAGGGAAGAGGGGAGAGAATTTCAGGGGCAAAGGGGAAGGATTCACAGGAATAAGTATAAAGGACACATGGACAAAAACTAAGTGGGGTGGAAATGGGAGGGAGTTGGGGAGCACTGGGGGGCAGGGTAGAATGGGAGTAAAAGACAGAAAACTACTTGAACAATAATTAAATTTAAAAAAAGAATTGATAAGCTGGGCTTCTTTAAAATTAAAAACTTTTGCTCTGCAAAATACAATGTCAAGAGAATAAAGAGAAAAGCCACAGACTGTGAAAAATATTTGCAAAACACATTATCTGATAAAGAACTGTTATCCAGACTTCCGCCAAGATGGAGGCATAGGTGGAGACGCCGTGCTTTCTCACACAACCAAATTTAGAGACAACTAAATATTAGCAACAGAAAACACAGCCAGAACAAAGAAAATTGAACTTTTCGGAAGTCTGTTAACAACAAATTCTTCAGCCTGACCAGTAAGAGGGGCAAAGACAGCAGCTGGCGGAGCAGGGTTGCACAGGAAAACTCGGTCAGACAGACTCAGGCGCACGGAATCCAGGCTCAGGGTTGGACCTAGTGAGAGACCCAGCGACCTCGGGGGAAACAGCGAGAAAGCAGGCCTGCGGGTTGACTGTGGTCGCGCATTCGTGCGCACATAGACAAGCGAGGGAGTGGGCGATTGGACGGGACCCAGCCGGTTCCCGAGGTGAGTGGCAGCGGAGGGTGCCAACATTTCCCTGCTCTGACCCCGCCTCCACATACTGCGTCATAACCCAGCAACTCTGAGTGGCCCTGCCCTGGTGAACCACCTAAGGCTCTGCTCCTCACCCAGTGGCGCAAAACAGCAGAGGGGTCCACCATTTCCCCGCTCTGATCACACCCCCACATACAGTGTCACAACCCAGCAACCTGGGAGTCCAAGGCTCTGCTCCTCATACTTAAGGAGCGCAAACAGACCAAAAATGGCTCAAGAAGATCTCAAAGCCCCAAAGCCTATAAATCTAAGTGATGAAGAAATAGCAAAACTCTCAGACGTACAGTTTAAAACACTGGTGATCAGGATCCTCACAGAACTGGTTGATTATAGCCACAAATTAGAGAAACATATGAAGGCGAAACTAATTGAAATGAATGGAATTGCACAGGAAACCAATAGCGATGAAAAGTAAACTGGGACTCAAATCAATGGAGTGGACCAGAAGAAAGCAAATAATGGCCAAACAGAAAAGAGTGAAGAAGCAAGAATTCAAAAAAATGAGGAGAGGCTTAGGAACCTCCAGGACATCTTTAAATGCTCCAACATCCGAATTATAGGGGTACCAGAAGGGGGAAAGGCACAGCCACCAGTGGAAAACTTACTTGAACAAATAATAAAGGAGAATTTCTGGCAAAGGAAATAGACTTCTAGGAAATCCAGGAAGCTCAGAGAGTCCCAAAGAAGTTGGATCCAAGAAGAAACACACCAAGGCACATCATAATTACACTAGCCAAGATTAAAATGAAGGAGAGAATCCTAGAAGCAGCAAGAGATAAGGGGACAGTCACCTACAAAGCAGTTCCCATCAGACTGTCAGTGGATTTCTCAGAAGAGACCTTACAGGCAAGAAGGGGCTGGAAAGAAGGATTCCAAGTCATGAAATCTAAAGACCTACAACCAAGATTGCTCTATCCAGCAAAACTTTCATTTAGAATGGAAGGACAGATAAAGTGCTTCTCAGATAAGACCAAATTCAAGGAGTTCACCATCACCAAGCCCTTATTATATGAAACGTTAAAGGGACTTATCTAAGAAAAAGAAGTTAAAAAAACATGAACAGTGAAAGGACAGCAAACTCACAGTTACTAACAACCACACCTAAAACAAAAGCAAACTAAAAGGACAGCTAGATCAGGAGTGGAAACAGAAATGAAGATCTCAAGGAGGGTTAGCAGCAGGGGAGTGGGAGGAGGAGAAGGGGGGAGAAGGTACAGAAAATAAGTAGCATAGACAGTAGATAGAAAATAGATGGGGGGGCAAGAATAGTATGGGAAATATAGAATCTAAAGAACTTGAGACACATGGTCATAAACTAAAGGGGGGGTAATGGTGGGCACGGGGGGTAGGGTGGAGGGGAATGAAGGGGGTAATAGAACAACTGTAATGGCATAATCAATAAAAAAAATTTTAAAAAAACTGTTATCCAAAATATATAAAGAACTCTTAAAACTCAAAAATTTTAAAAACCCAATTTAAAAAATGGGCCAAAGACCTTAACAGACACCTCACCAAAAAAAGAAATACAGATGGCAAATAAGCATATGAAGAGATGTTCCGCATCATATATCATCAGGGAAATGCAAATTAAAATAATAAGATAGCACTACACACCTATCTGAATGGCCAAAATATGAAAAACTGACAACACTGAGTGCTGGTTAGCATGTGGAGCAACAGGAATTCTCATTCATTGCTGGTGGGAATGCAAAATGGTACAGCCACCTTGGAAGACAAGCTGGAGGTTTTTTATAAAACTAAACATACAATTCCCATATGATCAGACAATCACACTCTTCAGAATTTATCCAAAGAAGTTGAAAACATGTCCACACAAAAGTTGCACACAGTTCTATAGCAGTTTTATTCATAATTGCCAAAACTTGGAAGCAGTAAAGATGTCCTTCAGTAAGTGAATGGATAAGTAGACTGTGGTACATCCAGACAATGGAATATTATATTCAGTGCTAAAAAGAAATAAGCAATCAAGCCATGAAAAGACACGAAAGAACTATAAATGCATGTTACTACGTGCATGAAGCCATTGTAAAAAGCTGACATACTGTATGATTCCAAATCCATGACATTCTCAAAGAAGAGAAAACTATGGACTCAGTAAAAAGATCAATAGTTGCCAGGGATTAGAAATGAAGGAGGGATGAATCACAATCTTTAAGACAGTAAAACTACTCTGTATAATATTATAACAGTAGGCATATGTTATTATATATTTGTCCAAACCACAGAAGATGCAATACCAAGAGTGAAGCCTAAATTATGAATAATGATATGTCCATGTAGGTTCACCAATTATATGTAATGTCCTGCTGTGCTGGGGGATGCTGACAGCAGGGGAGGCTGTGCGTGTGTGAAATAAAGGAGTATAAGGGAAATCTCTGCACCTTTTATTCCATTTTGTTGTAAATCTAAAGCCACTCTAAAACTAAATACATATATTACTTTAAAATTTTCATGTCCACCTAGAACCTCAGAGTATTGCCTTATTTGGAAATAGAGTCATTGCAGATGTAATTAAGTTAAGCTGAAATTATACTCGAGTAGGATGAGCCCTAAATCCAAAGCCTAATGTCCTTATAAAGAGGGAGAGACTGCCCTGGCTGATGTAGCTCAGTGGACTGAGCTCGGGCCTGTGAACCATGGGATCGCCATTCAATTCCTGGTTAGGGCACATGCCTGGGTTGCAGACCAGTTCCCAGCAGGGGATGCATGAGAGGCAACCATACATTGATATTTCTCTCTCTCTCTCTCCTTCTCTCCTCCTCTAAAGATAGATAAATAAAATCTTTTAAAAAAAAGAGCAAAAGCTTCTAAAAAAAAGAGGGAGAGACTCAGAGACAGAAGAAGTCTGTTTGAAGATGGAGGCAGAGATTAGAGTGATGCATCTGCAAGTCAAGAATACCAAGGATTGCTGGCTACCACCAGAAGCCCGGAAGAGACAGGCAGGACTTTTTCCACAGAACCTTCGGAAGAAGCATGGCCCTTCTGACACCTTGGTTTTGGACTTCCAGCTCCATATATGTGAAAGAATATGTTTCTTTTCTAAGCAAAAGGCCAAGGAATCTAATACAGCTGCTTCCCTAGACCAATCCCCAAATCACTCAACCAAAGTTCAAATCCTATATGTACTTTCTAATACCCTCTTAATGTGACACCCCACAGTTCCCTACACCATGCTCTCCCTCATTGCACTGAGTAATAAACCCAACCTGTTTAACTTGAGGTGTGTTCCTGATGGTCTTTGGGTAAATGGCACTGATGTGAGCAAAATTCTCAAAAGGTCCCAAACGATAAACCTCTCTGTGCTCCTAAGTAAACCCTGAAGTCTATGCCCACACTACCAGCACTTAATAAGCCTGAGGTTTTCAACCATAATAAAAAGTCAGTTCAACACACAGATGTTTATTTTCATGGTGAAGCCACTAGATTCTAAGTTGCTTGGGGTCAGTGACCACTCTGTCTTATTTACCAATGTTCCAATACCTCAGCCTGAATCCTAGAATAAGAAATAGGGCTGATTTGTCAGATTTGTTTTCTAAACAACTAAATAAAATAATATTGCCCATTCTTACCTAGTGAGGCAAGGTTCCGGAAGTTCTCCAGCATCACCTCTTTGTAGAGGCTCCTCTGAGCAATATCCAGCAAAGCCCACTCCTCCTGGCTAAAGTCCACAGCAACATCCTCAAAGACCACTGACTCCTGAAATATCACACATACTCTGTTCAGAAAGGTACCAACTCCCCAAATGTGTTCAGGAGGATGCATGATGCTGAAAATACGTGGGAACTGAGAATCCATTCATAGGAAGTTCTAACGATTTTATGGTCTCCTAACTTTGATGGGATGCAGCCATCAGATCTCTTTCTCCCCACACATCCTTCCTGGGAGATCGAATCCTGTCCCCAAACTTAACACTTCTAAAACGCTCAATCTCTCTCTTCACAGTGTGATAGTAAATCATTCCAGTCTTATAATGATCCAGGACAGTCCAGAGCATATAGCAAAAATGAGAGAAATGCTCTAAAACTGAATGACAGCAGGTCCTCAAATGACTTAATTTTACTATAATGTTGATGAGATGCTGTGGGAACTTAACACTCCTTTATATCAATTAGCGTGTGATGAAATTGGTTTATCTGTTGTTCTGCTTAAAGTTGCAGAACCTATCAATAATGCTGAGGACCTACAGCATTTCCACACTGACACCAACAATTCCTTGTTACAGAAACAATTTCATCTGCTTCCTTCTCTCCCATTATAGCAAGCAGCACATGAAACACTGGGGCAAATCCGGATGAAGTTTTAATGAATAAAAACACACTGAGGGAAAAGAAGCTTTTCATTTTTAAATAAATGCAAGAGCCTGCAACCTTCAACCCAGGCTCCAGATGTCCATATTTTCTTATACTCTAAGCCAGGGGTCAGCGAACTATAGCACACAGGCTAAATCCAGCCCACCAACTATATGTGTAAGTCAAGTTTTACTGGAACACAGTAAAACATGTACACATTGTATATAATGTCTATAGCTGCTTTCACACTACAATGACAGAGTTGCGTTCCAACAAAAGCCCCAGCCTGCAAAGCCTAAGATACTTACTCTGTGGCGTAACTCAGAAACAGGTTGCTGATCCTGCTTTAAACAATTAGATCAATGAACTGGTGAAATGGGAATAGTCTTCTGGAGAATTATTAGCTCTTACCTACCTGTGTCATGTCTTTCTGTAACTCAGTAGCTCTTCTTTCTTCATCCATGTTCCCTTCATGAAGAAAAGCAAAGTATTGAGAAGTTACAGCTGAGGCAGGAGAAAGACGACATGATAATCTAAGCTTCCCCATAATTTGCACACTTAAGAGCCTGGATGCTGCAGCACATTATAGTGACCACTCCCCTCAACAAACACACACACATGCACACATGCACATGCACATGCATAAGCCCAAGATAACCAAGCAAACACACCCTGATCTTGTAAGAAGGTCAAGCAATCTTACCTCATGGAGAGCTAAAAAACTGTGCTTTGGTTCTTGTTGATCATTTTTTAAAAAGAGTTAAGAGTCCCATTTTGCAAGTAAGTTAACTGACATCTAAAAGCTTAGCTATTTATTTGCCCATGAAGGTATCAGGCAATACCTTCAATCTTAAGAATATACACTCTGTCTCAAACCCAAGGAAACACCGACTTATATACCAGAATTCTTACTTCTGCACCCTTGACAGGCCAACAGGCATTACTGCTCAGCCCCTCATCACTGGACCCTCCCCACATGGGCCGTAGGGTTCCTGAAACCTGGTTTTTGAGGAGCATCAGCTGACTAAATTCCACACACAGGAGCGAGAAGACTGCCACGCTGTAAGTCTCATGCTAAATTTTGCCTGTACAGAAGCAGCCAAAAAAGTATACCTAAGTAAGCAATGAGTGTCATCTCCAATAGCAATATCTCCAGTGCTTTGCCCAAATTTCAAATAATGAAAATGCAATTGTTTCTTCCACTGCAGTGGATCCACTATGTACTTTAAAGCCAATAAAAAGTATGATATTCCTTACTATATTAATAATATTTTCTATTGAGCAACGATGATGTGAGAATGACTTTGCAAAGAGATGCCCATACCTTTGCAAAGAACTTATTTTTCATAGAAACTCTGCAAATCAGATATATTACAACTAATCTATAGTTGAGAAACCTTAGAAAGAGTGAATTAACTACACACTCAATATTACCAAAATTAGAAAGCTGCTCTGGCAGGGTGTGTATGTAGGCCTATTTATCTTCAAAGTCTAAATGCCCTGTGAGTATATTTCTGAATATATACCTTACAACTGAGTTGTTATTGAGGCCCTTATTCCCTAACATTACCGATACTTGCCTAGAACTCATTTGGCAAACTATGCAGAGTAGACAAGTAAAGTGTTCTATTCAAATGTTTTATTTTTGAGCTCCTTCTCTTGACTATGACCTATGTGTTGAGTAAGGATGGTTCCTTTAAGGCCCTTATCGCCTGCTCCTTCAGTTCATACTCATTTAGGTAATATTTCCCCTGATCCAAAACAGAAAAATCCTGGACTTCATAATTTTTTGTGGAAGGGCAATAAATTAACAAAATATCAGGTGGTGGTATATGCTACATAAAACCGCAGCACATTATAGGGATAAGGAGAAGCACACATATTTATTTTTAGCAAGTGAAGACTACTCATGTGGCAGAACAGTGGTATATATATTTATATGCTTGTAAGTATCATCAATTCCCAGAGAAGAGAAAATCAGTATCAATGGACTACCCCTGACTTTCAAGGTTGGGAAAAGAACAGCATAAAGGGTTAGAAAGAAAAGTGAAAACAAGGCACAATTAATGATACTTTAAAAAAAAACTAATAAACAGAATCAGAAAAGCTAGTAATGTGTCCTTTAAACACTAATGAAGTTGACAAACCCGTAGCAATTTTCTTTAAGGACAACAGAGAGCAGACAAAAGGAATTATGAATGAGTCATAATTACAGATGTTACAGGGAGGCTGTAACAAAAAATTAAGGGAACAGATATGAAAATGTATAGGTAATGAATGAATTTTGAGAGAAGTACAACTTTCCAGCAGTGATCTAAAATAAATACAGCACTTGATTATATCCAGTCACTAAAGGAAAAAATATGGTTTGTTTAAAATGCACCTACGAAGGAAAGAGAAGTTACAAACTATTTTACCAGCAGGTTCACTAAATAAGGAAAAAATTCAAAATTCCATTGTAGGGGTACAACTTGGAAAGGAAAAGATCTCATACACATTAGTGCAAATAACATATTAGTTTAGTCAAGAAATTAATAATCACAAACCAAGTTCATTTTGTCCTAACAATAAAATGTGATTGAAAATGGAATTGAGTAATATAATTCACCACATTAACAGAAAAAGATCATATGACTTATGCCCTTAGATACGAGCTAGTGACTCTCCTATAGTAATGCCCATTGGTGATAACAATTTAACCCACCAGAACTACAAGAAAATGTTTTATTAGGAAAAAAAATCTACAAATAGCTACAGTAAACATCCTATTTAGTGGTGAAGTGGTAGCATTAAGTCCCTCTGAGATCTAGAAGGCAAGGATACAAATTTTATGCTATTCTACATTGAACTGGATGGAGGTGCTGGCAAGTGCACTAAAGAACTAAAATGAAATACAAAATAAAGGGGGTAAAAGAACGCTGAAACTGACAGGTAATCACACTTTATGCGTGAAATTTTTTAAAAAATATACAGACAAATGATTAAAATGTATAGCTGGACTCGGCGAAGAGGGTTACAAAGATACTTATTAATCAGTTCACTTTTATACACCTGAATATAATGTACCAAATGGATGCCCACGGCAGCGTAAAACTGAGGTTAAATACTATTCTTGCACCGGGAGGAAAGAGGTGGGGACGTGGTTCAGGCAAACGCCAGCCCGTGCTCACCGAACACGCCGAAATCCACAGGTCAGCGTAGACAAGGTGAGGCTCTCGTCTCCGTGACCCGAATGGCAGGGACGCTTTTCCTTTTTGGGAAGACAGCAAAGGACGCTTTGGGAGGTGAATTAAATACGAGGGTGGTTGTCCAACTCTACTTTGCTCTCACTCCGACTGCTGCACCCAGCCTAGAGTTTAAGATTCAGTGAGTTTGGGATAAGCGACCACCACGGGCGCAGCCGGCCAGAGCTCTGAGGAAACGCCGCAGCGTCGGAGGCCTCTGGTGCGGGGTCCAGGTGGCGGCCGCCCTTTAAACGCTGGTTCCGCCGAGGCCGAGGTCTCCACCTCCAGTGCAGGGGACCCAGGACTGGCCAGACTGAAGCCCAGCAGGCTGCGGACCCAGGTGAAAACTGACCTTAGACTTGGGCGAGGGTGCTAGAGGACAGTGCCCAAGGGTCGCGCACGCGCAAAAGTACACTTTAGCTTCCGGTTTTTGTGCCGCGCCCAGCGAAAGGGGCGGGACCCCAGAAGCTGGAAAATCAGTATTAGGAGAAGCGGAGGGACCGGAGGGACCGGGAGGGACCAGGAGGGACTGGAGGGGACCAGTGAGCAGGACAGCGGCGCTTTCAGCCTAGAGTGAAGTTTCCTCTCAGGACTGTCGCTGTTGGGTCCTGGCGGCGGACTAGCCAAAGAGCTGGGAATGGACGGAGGTGGGGCGGGATCAGTGGGGCAGTACTTGGTTAAATATTCAAAGCATGGGGTTTAAGGTAGGGCCGGGTCAAGGGTCGGGACTGAGATAGGGCTAGAGGCGGGGTTAGGGTTACGGCCTCCTATCCATAACAAGACTGGAAATTTAAGACCGCCAATCCATGAGATCTCCCTTCTGTTCATTCAGTCCTTTCATTAGGCCTTTAGTGTACCCTTACATTGCTTTATTGATAATTGCTCATGTAGAGGAAGGATATTAAAAATTTTTTTTGTAGGTTCACGTACCTGGAAACCTTGCGGACCACTTCTATTTGTCCATTAGTTATTTTGGACTTAAACTATAAATGAAATTTTCTGTGCATATATTTTTCTTGTTCTAATATTAACACCTCTTTTTTCTTCTTGTGTGTGCAGTGCCTCTCAAACTATGGTATAAAGTCAAAAAGAAATAAGGCATTCTTGTCTTGGTCAGTAATGATTATCAAGCTATTGTAGGTTGTGGCCTTTATTAAGCTAATGAAGTCCCTTTTAAATATGATTTATGAAAATATCGGTTTTTGATTAATATTATTAAATGTTCATACATCTATTGAATTGATAACTTCGCTCCTTCAACTCACTTTATAACATTATATCTGTATAAAATATTTAATTTTATATAGGTCAATAAGTCTATACTGTTATTTTTTTAACTTTATTGTTTACACTATTACAATTATCCCCATTTTTCCCCACTTTGCCCACCTCGACTCAGCCCCAACTCCCTCCCTCAGGCCATTACCACAGCATTTTCTGTGTCTATGGGTTATGCATATATGGAGTTTTTTTGGTTTTTTTTTGCTAATCCCTTTATCTTCTTTTATCCAGTCCTTCCTTTCTCCCTTCCCTCTGACAGCTGTCAGCCTGTTCCTTGTTGATTAATGGGATAAGTCTCTCCCATTAAAGTGTCAGCAGCAATCAAGTGTCAACTACAAGGGAGGATGTACACAGCCCATATGGGGCTGGGGTGGGTACAACTGGAGTGCCTAGCTTGGGTGATCAGGGAAGCTGAGCCAGTGAACCCTGTAGGCCACCTACTATATTAGGCCACTCTATCAAGCCCAAAAGATGTACCTAATACATAGAAACAAACACAGGGAAGCTACCAAAATGAGGAGATGAAGAAACCCATCCTAAATGAAAGAACAAAATGAAACTCCAGAAAAAGAACTAAACAAAATGGAGACAAGCAATCTACTAGATGTAGAGTTCAAAACACTGATTATAGGGATGCTCAATGAACTTAGGGGAAAAATAGTTGAACTTAAAACTTCAACAGCATAAAGAAAAGGACATGAAGACTATAAAAAGGAACCAATCAGATAGGGATGATACACTAACTGAAATAAAGAATCATTTACAGGGGATCAACAATAGAGTAGATGAAGCCAAGAATCAAATCAGTGACTTGGAATATAAGGAGGCAAAAACACCCAATCAGCACAGGAAAAAAATCCAAAAAAAAAGAAGAAGATAATGTAAGGAGCCTGTAAGACAACTTCAACCATACCCACATTCGCATCATGGGAATGTCGGAGAAAGAAGAGAGAGAGCAAGGAATAAAAACATATTTGAAAAAAATGACAGAAAACCCCTAACCTGGTTAAGGAGACAGACAGACATACAGGTCCAGGAAGTGCAGAGTCCCAAACAAGGTGAATCCAAGAGGCCCACACCAAGACCTATCATAATTAAAATGCAAAAAGTTAAGGACAAACAGAGAATCTTAAAAAGTAGCAAAAGAAATGCAGTTACTTACCTACAAGGGAGCTCCCTTGTCAGCTGATTTCTCAACAGAAACTTTGCAGAAGTTTCAGAAGGGATTGGCAAGAAATATTCAAGGTGATGAAAAGCAGGGACCCACAACCAAGAGTACTCTACCCAGCAAAAGTATCATTTAGAACTGAAGGACGTATACAGTTTCCCAGGCAAGAAAATACTAAAGGAGTTCATCACCACCAAACCAGTATTACATGAACTGTTCAAGGGTCTTCTTTATGGAGAAAACATTAAAAAAAATTTAATGTGAACAATAAAATGGCAATAAATATATATCTGTCAACAAATGAATCTGAAAACAAACTAAGCAAACAAGAAGAGCAGAGACTAAATCACAGATACAGAGAGCATTTCAATGGTTGCCAGATGAGATGGAATTGGGGGAGGCGTGAAAAAGGTGAAGGGATTAAGTACAAATTGATTGATACCGAATAATCATGGGGGTGTAAAGTGCAGCATAGGGGATATAGTCAATAATATCTAACTACTATGTATGGTGTCATATGGGTACTAGATTTATCAGAATAATCACTTAGTAAGTTATATAATGTTTAACCACTGGGGTGTACACCTGAAACTAATATATGGCAACTGTAATCAAAAAATAAAAATGATTTACATTTTATAAATAAATAAACACTCTTTAATACAAAAACAACCAAAAAATGGTTTCTGGTTTTCCTAGTATGCTTTTAAAAGTCTTCCCAACTATAGAGCATAAATATATTTTCCTAATTTTCTTCCAAATTTTATTATTCCTAAAACTTTTCAATCTTTACTCTTCCAGGTATGTCTTATGACACATAGTGTGAGGAGGTAAAGGTCTGTTATGTTAAAAAAGGCACAAGTGGACACTGTTTTGGCTCCTGGCTGTTTCTTTCTTCATCTCATGCCAAGACCCATAAGCTCAAAAGCCTGTTGGCACCAAACTTAAATTTTTATACATCCAATTATTTTTACATAGGCAAAAAAACATATTTTAAGCCATTTAGAGTCTGCCTGCTTTGCATACCCTGTGAACCCTCATCCAGCATTTGATGAAGATTGATTAAATAGAGTCTTGTGACTATAAAACCCTAAGCTGCTATGTCCCCTCCGAAGCAGGGACTCCCCTCCCTGGGCTGGTGGGCAACATCAACTGGACATGTCAGCCCCCTCCCACATTCCCCTTTCTCCCAAGGGTTTCTTGCCCTCCTCCCCTTTCCAATTGGGGGACCCTGTGCCATAAGCTGCTGGACGGTCTCATGCTGTGGGGCAGCTCTCCTCTCTTCCTACCTGGCCCAAGTGTCACACTGCCAAAGAAAAAAGTGTCAAAAAGTAGTTAAAGCAGTAAAAACACCCTGCAGACCCTGAGTGGACCCCCCCAACCACCACACACACACCACAGATTTTGTTTGGATGTCAAGACTGATGATGCCACACACACCTAGAAGGTATGAAAAGGCTTACTGTGTTACAAACGACCCTTGGATCAGCAAGGTGAAATAACTATTACTAAATGGTCATCAAGCAGCAGTTTTTGAAGACAATAGAGGCAAACTGTGCCAGGATCAAAACTCACAGCACTAGAGGCATTATGACCTATTGTAGACTTCATAGCCAGGAGGTTACTTATTATTCGTACTAGCCTCTGCAACACTCTTATCCTCTGTTTTTAAAATGGGAGGCGGTATTGTTTTGTATAAAACCTCAGTCTGTAAATTGTACTGGGTGCCTACATGCCCTATAGCCCCCAACCCCAATGCTATTCTGGCTTTGACCTCTAAAATCAACACACTTCATACTAGGAGGTCTCTGTTCAGCCTCCTCTAGCATTCCTTTGCAGCCTATTCCCAATACTTTTTCACTTTCATGTGGCAAAACAATACACCTGCACTCTGATGCTGCAGATCTTCACTAAAGGCCCTTCATACTTCTTTCAGGTTCTCAGCCATAATTGTCAGGGACCCATACATGTCAGGGACCCAAATCGCAGTCATTCTGCCCAGTGTCACTCAAACCAATAGAACAAAAGTGTGTTTGGTAAAGCAGATCAGAAACTTTATTCTTTGACCAAATTCTTTCCCCAGTCATGGAGAACTGGAAAAATCTTAAAGAGTTGGGGGAGAATTAGGCAGATGCAAGGATGGAAATCTCCATTAGAGAGTTCCGGGATTTCCTAGGGAGCATGCTCAGTTCCCAAACATTCTGAGGACATGTGTAGCCATACATTGCATGCCTTATTTTAATGTTAAATCTCCACCTCTGGGTGTGATTTTTCAGCATGCTAGTACAGAAGTTTGTAAAAAAAGTCACTTGGGAAGGGGTTTCAGGCACCGTCTTGGATCTTTCCAGGGCAACCGGGTTTCTCAGATATGGTCCTTAAATTTCTTATCTGGTTCCTGATCACAAGCTTAACTACCCTCCTTGGAATTTCTTTTCTTTTTTCTTTTCTTTCCCTTTCTCTTTCTCTGTCTCTTTCTCTTTCTTTCTTTCAGTGATTTCAGCCTGCTTTTGTCAAGAGATGTATTGGAGAGAATACAATAAAGTCAGAAGTTCAAAGACTAATAATTTGGTGGGACAATGCAGTGACGTAATCTCCCACACTTACAACCTCCCTCTTCTTCTATGCTAATTCTAGTTGTAGATGACTTATGTTCAGCTGATCTTACCTCTTCTCAGCAGGAATCTCTTTATCTCTGGAAAACTTTGGCTATATAAAGACATAAAGTCAATTAGGATAAATTACAATACAATCAGAATGAAGGTTTACCAGCCAATGACAACCCTGGGAAGCAAGTCCCTCACACCAGAGAATTAGATATTCAAAATTTCCTCTCTTTTTACCAAATCAACTTAGAAGATTCCTAAGATGTATTGTGTACTGCATTGCCAACTTAAATAATCTGCCTCCTTCCTGGCTGTGACTAATGACACCCCTGAATCTCTGCTGTGGGAGGTAACTGCAAACTGAGAACTCCCAAATTATAATAAACTATGTTCTTTTTCTGTTAATATCTGAAATTGATGGTAAAGCTCATGTACTTTTAACTTTAAAATGTAGTGAAAATCAGAGACCCATTGGGCATTCCACTTGCTCTCCAAACCCAATAGCTAAAGAATCTCGCTCTCAGCCCCACAGTTAGATGAAGCCATCTCAGATTTAAATTTACCGACACATTTTCACCTCTAGTATAGTATCAGAACCCCAGACTGAGGTGCTGTGTAGTTCTTGCTCCCTCTCACCTTTACTGCAGTTTGCATCTTGCTTCCCAGGTAAGAGGAGTCATAGGAAGCTAAACTACACTGAAAAGCTGAATCACGAGCAGAGAATCCTGTGTTACCGTATGAAAAGGTTAAGTGCCGTAGGTGGCGACTGTATTCATCATCTTCATGGGGAAAGATTAGTAACAATGATGCAAAGAACAGTAAGGTGTGTTCAAGTATGCAGCAAAATTTTAAAGTGATACTGACTGGAACTTCACAGGAGCATAACCAGTCAGGAGGGTCTATGGGAAGAGCTAGGGCTTAGGAAGTTCTCACACTCTATGTCATCAGGAAAACCCTACAGGAAGAACTCTGTATTTATAATACAGTTGTATGGTTCTAACTTCCCCATCCCTTAACTTCTTTTTCCCTTGTTCAAATACCCCTCCATCTTCTCATGCAGTACACGGCTTGCCACGTCGGCATGCACCGGGTTGCAACCCTTTCTCTCCCCGGCCCCTTTCCCTGATAAATTCTTTTCGGTGACGAAATACCTAGTGATACTATTTTTCAGTTTAACAAAGCAATTGCTTTTCATGTAAGACGACTAATAGGCATGGGCTAGGGAGGAAAATAAACCACCACCAAGGGGTGTGTCCTCGGTACTCCGAGTCAGACGCAGTCCTCTCAACACCCAGCTCGTTGTTAAAAGCAGCAACTCCCGCAGCAATCCAAACCGCCAGGCTCCGCCCCTTACGCTGACCGCGGAGACGGAGCGTGCGTGGGCGCGTCTGCGTGTGGGCGTGCTCATGAAGACGGCCATATTTACTCTGGGCTGCGGCCGGCGTCGGAGGTATGGGTAGACTGGGGTCACAGAACGATTTCGTCGCGCGCTGGTCTAGCCTCCGGCGGAAGCTCAGAGGCGATTCCCCCTCCCTAGAACTTGGCCCGCAGGGGTTCGGGCCAAGGAAAGGTGTGGGTCGGCCTCCTCCCCTTTCCAAAAGAGCCCCCAAATCCCCTTCTGTGCCCTTTCTTCAGAAAGAAAAGCATCTCTCCGTAATTGACGTTGCAGACTTCGGCCGCAGCATCCCCACCAGCCTGGCAGTTTGTTCCATCGTTCCCGGGGACCGCTCCGTGTTCCGGCATGAGTGTACGCCATTGAAGTTTGGTAAGTGACATTTCAAAGGAAGGAGAACCCTTTCCTGGTTGTTGGGGGAGCACGTGTGTCAGATGTAAATAAATGTGTGGGTGAATGAATGACTGTAAATAACTCTTTGACCACGGAGAAAAAGTGGGCTGACTGCTCTGATCTGAAGTCTGCTCTTGTCAGAGCCCTGCAAGTCCCCAAAGCTTTAAAATGGGGGAGTCTTGCCCTGGCTGGTGTAGTTCAGTGGATTGAGCAGGGGCTTGCGAACCAGACAATCGCGGTTCGATTCCCGGTCAGGGCACATTCCTGGGTTGCAGGCCAGTTCCCTGCAGGCCAATTCCCAGCAGGGGACTCGTGAAAGGCAATCATACATTGATGTTTCTCTCCCTCTCTCCTTCCCTTTCCCTCTAAAGATAAATAAATAAAATCTTTATTAAAAAATAATAAAATGGGGGAGTCTCTGGGAAGAAATACAGTGCACACTGATCTCTGCTAGTAGTAGAAGTTGGAATTGAATTAACCCTAAGTTATTTGAGTTTGGACCCTAAGTTATTTGAGTTTGGGCGGGTGGGTGGATTGTTCTCCCAGGTACTCATTTTGAAATTCTTATCTTTAAGAAAAATTTACATGTAGCGTCATTAAAACGAACGTCCATGAATCCTTTATCTAGACTCACTAATTGTTAAGATTTGTCTCATTAGGCTTTTCTGGTACAGATAGTTGCGATGATGAGCCATTTAATGCTAAATTAAAAGACATTCACTTCACCCTTTAAACACCCTTTACACAGCCCTTTAAATAATAAGGGCCGTCTCCTTCAAAAACAGAAAACTCCATTGTCCACCCAAGAAAATCAAATTTCTCCAGCTTCCCAGGAGTATGTATTAAGAGTTGTCAGGGTTTTTTTTGGAGCTAGGAGCCAAAAAAGATTCATATATTGCATTTTGCTTTTCTGTCTCTTTAATCTATTATACCTAAAATCTTTCCCTGCATTTCTTAAAATTTGATTTTGGTTCTTAAAGATTCCAGGAGAGTTATACGGGGGTGGGCAAAAGTAGCTCTACAGGAGTAAGTGACATTGTAAGTGACAATTTACAGTTGTAAGTAAGAATTCAGTTCCTTGGTTGCAGTTGCCAGCCAGTGGCTACCGAGTTATAGTGCACAGGTTTAGAGACTGGAAAATTTCTTAGGTGATGTGTACTTCATATTGTATCTCATCAGGAGACACTCAAATGCAAGTTGTCCCACTGTTTAGTAGTGATGCTAAGCCACATTCTTCTTTGTGGTAATCACAAAGAAATAGGGTGACACTCTATTCCCCAAAGCCTTTCACCCAGTGGTTTTAGCATCACTTGTTGATTTTTCCATTGACCAATTTTTATATTGGGGTATACTAATGTTTTTTCAAATTGTCATTCCTTCTTCATTATTTAGCTGTCAGTCTTCTGTGAAGAGGAGCTCTCCTTCCCCACTCTTCTCCCTTCTATACTTTTTTCTTTTTGTAGTATCACAACATATCCTTGGACTTTCTTTCATTTAATATATATATTATAATCAGTTACTTTCATTCATTTTGATGCTCAAATTGTTTTAAACTTGACCAGGGGCAGTCCTTTTGATTTGGTTCCTGTGTCCCTTTGACACAATTCTATTAATCTTTGAGTACAAAATAAACCCCCGGTTCACTTTGTATTTTCCTGTTACAAAGCTGGAATCAATGATTTTGCCTAAGGGCTTTTTGTTCAGACCATTATGTATCTCAGTTAATCCAGTTATCTGGGACCCAACAGAAGATATAAAGGTTCTGTCAAATGCTTTTTGCAAAAGCCCAGCGTTGAGTATTCTGTTTTTTTAAAGTATGTTTTATTGATTATGCTATTACAGTTGTCCCATTCTTTCTCCCCTTTATTCCCCTCTGCCCTGCACCCCACCTACCCCCCAAGCATTCCCCCACTTTAGTTCATTTCCATGGGTCCTACATATGAGTTCTTTGGCTTCTCTATTTCCTATACTATTCTTAACCTCCCCGTGTCCATTTCCTACCTACCAGTTATACTTCTTCCCGTATCTTTTCCTCCATTCTCCTCCCTCCCCCTCCCTGCTGATAACCCTCCATGTGATCTCCATTTCTGTGACTCTCTCCTGTTCTAGTTGTTTGCTTAATTTGTTTTTGTAGGTTTAGGTTTAGTTGTTGATGGTTGTGAGTTTGTTGTTATTTTTACTGTTCTTATTTTTGATCATCATCTTTTTCTTAGATAAGTCCCTTTAACATTTCATATAATGAGGGCTTGTTGACAATGAACTCCTTTAACTTGATCTTATCTGGGAGGCACTTTGTCTGCCCTTCCATTCTAAATGATAGTTCTCCTGGACAGACTAATCTTGGATATAGGTCCTTGCCTTTCATGATTTCAAATACTTCTTTCTAGCCCCTTCTTGCCTGTAAGGTTTCTTTTGAGAAATTAGCTGATAGTCCTATGGGAACTCCTTTGTAGGTCACTGTCTCCTTTTCTCTTGCTGCTTTTAAGATTCTCTCCTTATCTTTAATCTCAGGTTATGTAATTATGATGTGCCTTGGTTTGTGCTTCCTTGGGTTCAACTTCTTTTGGACTCTGAGCTTCCTGGACTTCCTGGAAGTCTATCCTTTGCCAGATTGAGGAAGCCCTCCTTCATTGGTTTTTTTTCCAATAAGTTTTTAGTTTCTTGCTGTTTCTCTTCTCCTTCTGGTACCCCTATATTCAGATGTTGGAATGTTTAAAGTCCCAAAGGTTCCTTTGCCTCTCCTCATTTTTTTGAATTCTTGTTTCTTTGTTCTGTTCTGGTTGAATGTTTAGTTCTTCCATTTGCTCCAAATTGTTGATTTGAGTCCTGATTTCCTTCCTGTCACTCTTGGTTCCCTGTACATTTTCCTTTATTTCACTTTGCATAGCTTTCACTTCTTCCTCTATTTTGTGACCATACTCAACCATTTTTGTGAGCATCCTTATTACCAGTGTTTTGAACTCTGTATCTAATAGGTTGGCCCTCTCTTCATCGCATTGTTCTACTTTTGGAGTTTTGATCTGTTTCGTTTGGACAATATTTCTTTATCTCAGCATACCTGTTGTTTTGTAAGGGGTGGAACCTTAGGTATTCACCAGGGCAGGACAACCCCAGTCACTGTGTTCTGGTGCTGTACGTTGGGGAGGGGTCCAAGAGGGAACAGTGCCGTTTGCTTAGCTGCCAGCTTTCAGTCAGTGCCTCCACTTCCCTGGGCCCTTCTGGTGCTGATACCTGGGCGAGTGGGTTTGTGTATGTTCTAAGACCCAGTGGGTCTCTCCAGTGAACTCTCCTATGAGGCTGGGAGTTTCTCCCACCTCTGCAGTCCCCACAGGTTTTTACAGCTGGAGGTTTTGAGGCTTTCTTTTCCCACACTGGAAACCTCAGTTGTGTTGTCTGCCTTCCTCCCCAGTTGTTCTCCCGGTTTGGATAAATGCAAATGTGGGACCTCCCAATCCGCCAGCCACTGCCCTGCCATGGGTCCTCTCGGCCCAGGCTGCATCTCTGCCCCTCCTACCGGTCTGGATGAATGTTTCTTCTTTAACTCCTTGGTTGTCAGACAGTTTGATTCTGGCAATTTTGGTTATTTTTTGTTTTTAAATTTGTTGTTGTCCTTGTTTTAGTTGCACAAGGAGGCAAAGTGTATCTACCTACACCTCAACCTTGGCCAAAAGTTCAGTCCAGCATTGAGTATTCTAAGCATCGAAATGTGTTTGTTGTTTATCAGTGATTCCTGTGACTCTTAAGGGAATAATGGGGTCTTTGTATTGTGGTTTTAGCTATATGTAAAGACACTTGATTTTGATATGTATTGTGACTATAGGTGAGGCAGAGATTGCCTGAGTTCTATGCTATGCAGGGGACAGATCCGTCACATTTTATCAAGTCAGTCATAAGTGTTAAAGAATTAATTTTAACTTGGTATTCATTATGTTAGAGTATCTGCATTCAATATGGAATGCTTTAGGCAATGGGGACTATGACTACGGGAAATTTAGGCAAGGTGTCAAAGAAAAAAATCAATGACACCTGTTAAAGATAGTAAGGCAGAATTTATTCAGGACCATTTAGATAGGTATAGGGACAGATACAGTGGGATTTTGCAGTGTGGGAGAGAGATTGGGCTCAACTTCAAATACAGCATGGTGAAGTAGGAAGTTATGTAGCCACGGAGCCGTGTGGGGGAAACAGATGAACAGTTACTACCAAGGAAACATCAGGGGCAGGGGGGTTCTGACTAAACTGAAGATAGGCTGTGGCGATCATCACCTGTGAGACAAGGGAGGATGAGAAACCTGGTTAGATATCAAGGGTCTTCATATACTGAGGGTTCTGATTAAAGTGACTTAGCAGATTTTTTGCTTAAACTGATTTTACAAAGAAGTACACAGATAGGCCTAGGATGTTGAGTGAAATATGCTAGACAGAAAACTAATGCATACCATATGATTTTATTTATATGAAGTTCCAAACAGGCAAAATTATACTGTTAAAAATCAGAATAGTCTTTTCATTTGGAGAGGAGTAATGCTTTACATGAGGCGTGACTGCCTCAGGGGTGTAAGAATTGCACTTACTTGAATGTATAATTCAACAAAACGTTTTTAAAAATGAGCCGAGCTATAATTTCCAAATGTATGAATGTGATCAACAAAATGAACATAAAGCATAAGTAAGAAAGAGTACAAATAAAGGCAAAATTAATTAAAAGTACAGCCACAAAAAGTAGAAGTGATGAATAATACTGAGAGGTGAACTTTTTAGAAAAATAATAAAAGAGATAAATTTTGGGCGATGTCTTATTTAGCACTCTACCCACTCCATTTTATGTCCTCTAATACCAACAAGGGGACAGTGTCATATATATGATTTGAGTGTTTCTAAACCCTGGGGAAGGAGATCATTTGAAAACCCTGGTGAAGGAAACCAGTATTCTAAGTTTATTTTGTGAGCTGTGAAATTATTCTAATGCTTTGGTTCAA